GCTCACAGCTAATCAAGCTGAAAAGTTCAAGACTGGGTGGCTACATCTGGCAGCTTCTAGTGAGTGCTTCCTGTTCTTCATAGCATGGTAGAAAAGTGTAAGAGGAAGCAGGAGTGTGCAAAAAGACTAAACAGGACAAACAGGTTTATAACAACTCATTCTCATGGGTACATGTGGTATTTGGTACATGCACAGAATGTGTAATGATCAAGTCAAATTATATGGGGTATCCATCACCTCAAGTATTTATCATTTCCATGTGTTGGGAACATTTCAATTCCTCTCTTCTAGCTATTTTGAAATATACAATGCACTACAGTCACCCTACTCTGCTACTGAGTATTAAAACATATTATTTCTATCTAACTATATAGTAGCCATTAACCAAATTCTCTCCATTGCCCCCAACCACACATACACTTCCCAGCCTCTAGGGCTTGTAATTCTACTCTCTGCCTCTATGAGATCAACTTATTTAAGTTCTCACATGTAAGAGAGAACATCCAATCTTCATCTTTCTGTGCCTGTCTTATTTCATGTAATGACCTCTAGTTCCATCCATGTTGCTGCATATGACAGGATTTCATTCTTTTTTATGGCTGAATGGTATTCCATTGTGTATACAGACACCATATTTTCATTATCCACTGATGGACACTTAGGTTGATTCTGTATATTTGCTATGGTGAATGTACTGCCAAAAAAAAACATGGTAGGTGCATGTATTTCTTCGGTATATTGACTTCCTTTCCTTTAGATAAATACCAGTGGCAGGACTACTGGATTGTACAGCGGTTCTATTTTTATGTTTCTTTTTTAAATTTGGGGGGGGGTTGTTTGTTCGTTTTTGTTTCTATTTTTTTAATCTATTTCAGTTTTCAGAGAAATCTCTATACTGCTTTCGATAATAGTTACACCAATTTATATTCCCACCAAGAGTGTATGAGTTTCCTTTTCTCCACATCCTTGCCAGCATCTGCTATTCTTTGTCTTTCTAACGGCCATTCTAGCTGAGGTAAGATGATATCTCATTGCAGTTCTGATTTGCTTTTCCCTTATAATTAGCAATACTGAGCACTGTTCACATACCTGTTTGCCATTTGTATGTCTTCTTTTGAGAAACGTCTTTTTATGTCACTTGCACACTTTTTAGTGGGATTATTTGTTTATTTTTACTGTTGAGTTGTTTGGATTCCTCATATATTCTGGGTATCAGTCCCTTCTTGGATGAATAGTTTACAAACATTTTCTCCCATTATGGAAGTTGTCTCTTTACTCTGTTGATGGGTTGGCTCTTTAGCTGTGCAGAAGCCATTCGGCTTAATATAGTCTCATTTATGTGTTTTTTGTTGTTGCCTGTGCTTTTCAGGTCTTAGTCATAAAATCTTTGCCTAGACCAATGTCCAGAAGCATGTCCCCTATGTTTTCTTCCAGTAGTTCTATAGTTTCAGGTCTTACATTTAAAGTATTTAATCCATCTTGGGTTGATTTTTATATGTGGTGAGATATAGGGGTCTAGTTTCACTCTTCTGCATATTTTCCCAGGATCACTACGGAAGAGAGTGTCCTTTCCCCAGTGTATGTTCTTGGTACCTTTTGATGAAAATCAGCTGGCTGTAAATACATGGATTTATTTATAGGTTCTCTGTTCTGTTCCATTGGTATATGGGTCTGTTTTTATACCATGCTGTTTTGGTTACTATAGTCTTGTAATATATTTTGAAGTCAGGTAGTGTAATGCCTCCAGTTTTATTCTTTTCACTCAGGACTGCTTTAGCTATTTGGGCTCTTTTTTAATTCCATATGATCTTAGGGTTAAGATTAACAAATTCACCTTAAGGGAAGAAAGAACTAAAGCTTGGTTTAAGGAGTTCAGTATTTATTAAACTAAATGGGGAGGCTAACAAAGCTGTAACAATTGCTTTGGCAGCAATGGTGATGACAACAGTGGACTCCGGAACACATGTTGGCACCCTCATTGTATAATATTTCAGTAACATCAACTATAGTAATATCCTTTAATAGTACTTTTGATATCAGTACCAATAAGAGAGACACAAAAATAATGACTAACTTTTAATAATCACCTACTAACTTCCTGGCATTATACTTGGGACTTTACATGGATCATCTCGTTAAATCTGCACACTAACCCAATAAGGTGTGTATTATTATCCCTGTTTTAAAGACAGGGTAAGAAACTTGCCCAAGGTAAGTCAGTGTATTAGCAGTATAGCTAATATCTTAATCCAGATGTCTGGGTCCAAAGTTTATGCTTATTCCAAATACACGAATCAAATAAAATTGTCACCAAGTGAATGAAATTTCAAAGTCCACATCAAAACCACCTGGAAATTTCACATCTATTTAGAAAGGATTTAAAGGACAGCTAGTGTTCCCACTGAATAGTTTTGGGGAATGACCGGAAATATTATACCTATTAATATTATTAAACCTTAGCCCCAGAATGGCATTAAGGCAGAAGTGTACAGATTACAATTTGATTGTTTCATACAATCTTCAAAAGTGTGACTTTTACAGCATAAATGTGCACTGATGTCATCTGAGTTCCATGGTAATGGTACATCTTGAGTTTTCTTTTAATCTTTCTTTTTTTTTTTTTCTCATCATTTGACTTAAAGCTCAATCATCACAACTTCATCTCCAACAGAAAGTACCTTCAATAATATTTTCATTTATTTTATTTATAATATTTTATGGGCACAAAGAATTATCAGAAGTGAGATTTAAAAGAAAAGGAAAAGAACATTTTTGTGAGGTAGATAGGGCATTCAAAATTACTTCTCTTTTCACAACTCAGAAAACTGAAGCTTACATTAAATGACATAAGCATTAACTCAAGTGCAAAAAATTTAGTATACATTGAGCTAAGTACTAAGTATATGCAAATAAGACACAATACCTCTTCTCCTCGAGGAGCTCATGGTATAGCAGAGGAGGTGGAAACAAACAGCTATACTGCAGCGTGGATAGACACTTTTGTTGTTGTTGTTGTTGTTGTTGTTGTTATTGGTTTTTTGTGTATTTTTTGAGACAAAATTTCATTCGTTGCCCAGGCTGGAGTGCAATGGGGAGGTCTCAGCTCACTGCAACCTCCGCCTCCCAGGTGGAGGCAAGGATTACAGGTCCCTGCCACCACACTCAGCTAATTTTGTATTTTCAGTGGAGACAAGGTTTCACCATGTTGGTCAGGCTGGTCTCGAACTCCTGACCTCAGGTGATTCAACCACCTTCACCTCCCAAAGTGCTGGGATTGCAGGCGTAAGCCACTCTGCCTGGCTGTTGTTGTTTTTGAGACAGGGTCTTGCCCTGTCACCCAGGCTAGAATGCAGTGGCAATCACAGCTCACTGCAATCTTGAACTCCTGGGCTCAAGCGATCCTCCCACTTCAGTCTCCCAAGTAGCTGAGACTACAAGTATGCACCATCACACCTGGCTCATTTTTTTCATTTTTAGCAGAAACAAGATCTCACTATCCTGCCTAGGCTGGTCTTGAACTCCTGGCCTCAAGTGATCCTCCTGCCTCAGCCTCCCAAAGGGCTAGGATTATAGGCATGAGCCACTTGATAGATACATTACTAATTTCCCCAATTACACATTAAATTTAGTAACTGAATAATGCCACTGAAATTCTCATTTTGGGAGGAAAACTTAGAGACCTAATAAAGTATAAAGTTAAAATTGTCATTACTAATTCACTAAGTAGAACCTAGGTGAAAATAAAAAATATTTTCCAAAAGAAGAAAAATTCAATAATTCATAGAAAATAAAGAGTTTAAAATAATAAAATTTGTTGCAGATCTTTAAAAAGGCAACTATAAGTACTATTTAATGTAATTAGATTTACAATAGAAATACAAACCAGAAGTTAGCTTTGGATAGTTCGGGGGGAAAAAATTAAGATAATCAACTTTTCATTTATATAAAAAGTATCCTACAGGCTGAACACAGAAAATAAAAAGAGAAGCTTCAGAAGCTTGCGGCAAATGGAAGTTTATAAATCTAACAGAATTCACTAACTGACCATCCCTAGCTTTGTGCCACAGATGTTTTCTTATTTCTAGTCCACACACAATCCTCTCCTAGAGCTTAAAACAAAGGCAACTTAAGATCTGCATTTCTCTTATTGGCACAACAAGCTACGTTTGTCAATGGAATTCAGCTTTTCCATTTGTTAATGGAAAATCTCAGACCATTTTTTAAGGAATGTGTTCAGTCATTCATTCAAAAAATATTTACTGAGCACTAAGTACTAGTTAAAATTCTAGAGTCTGAATATAAAAATAACGGACAAGGCCGGGTGTAGTGGCTCATGCCTGTAATCCCAGCACTTTGGGAGCCCGAAGCAGGCAGATCACAAGGTCAGGAGATCGAGACCATCCTGGCTAACATGGTGAAACCCTGTCTCTACTAAAAAAATACAAAAAATTAGCTGGGCATGGTGGCACGTGCCTGTCGTCCCAGCTACCTGGGAGGCTGAGGTAGGAGAATCGCTTGAACCCGGGAGGCAGAGGTTGCAGTGAGCCAAGATCGCGCCACTGCACTCCAACCTGGGTGACAGAACGAGACTCCACGTCAAAAAAATTAAAAAAAAAAAAAAATAACAGACAAGACTGAATGGGTAGATGGATAGATGGACAAATAGAACAGAAAAAGAGAAGGGAATACACTAATGTCAGAGGAATGGATTTCAATGACACCAGACAAATTGGGATACTGAAATAGGTTACCAGATTTTCATTAAGTGTCTGTATTCATTTTTCCAAAACACAAGTATGGTGACCAGTGCTTCTGAAACACATTATTAGCCATGGACTGTTGGTTCCAATAGCCATTCCAACCACCATGGGAGAAAAATAATACCAACTATCAGAGCACATTTACCTCACATTTAGCAATAATGTATCTGTGAAAAAGAACAGGGAAGGATATATCAAAATAAATATAATTATTTTGAGTAAAGTTATCACTAAACATACCTTTCAGATAAATAACAGCTCTTGTGAGGGTTTAGACTTTGATAAGATTCTAGGCTGCCATCAGATGATGAAGAAAGTTGCTCTGATTGCAAGTTGTCTGTATCACTCAAACTTCCCTCGGTTACAGGTGGGGTCCTTATGTATTTTCTTCCTAACTCCGTTCCCAGGACATTCGTCAATATAACTCTGGGTATCCTGTCACATAGAATAACAAACACTGTACTGTACTGAGAAGTTTTCAGTTAAAAAAAAATGTATTCCAGGAAGCTGAATTTTCAATCATTGTCATCTTAGCACAAGAAAGCTGTTTGAACTATACCACCCTCGAAATTAACCCATAAATACTTAAAAATTTAGAAAAACACAATCTTTTTGTTTCTAGAAGCACTTGTTTCTTATCACTTACAGCATAGATTAGCCTGTCACTACAATGTCTTTAATTATACTAATGGATGCCGTTGAGGGGCTTAAAATTTTAACAAATTCTTCTCTAAAAAATGCTTTCTTTCCTTTTCCAGAAATTATTAAAAACACAGCTTACTACAAATCAAGAAATCTTTGTTCTTCTCATTTAACAGAAAGACCTTTGATAAGTAATTTACACACTTGCAATTGGGAAATGACAAATGACAAATTCAACAAGACATCATTCAGACTGCATCTCTGGTAATGAAAGATTCCACAACTGAAACAGCACATATAACGGTGATAACATATATGCTAATATATAATAGCATCAGGAAAAGAGTCAATACATTTAAATGTTTAGAAAATTAAAGTTTTTGTTTAGTTGGTTTTCCTTTTTTGAGACAGTATCTCACTCTGTTGCTCAGACTGGAATGGAGTTACACAATCACAGCTCACTGCAGCCTCCACCTCCCGGCTCGAGTAATCCTCCCACCTCAGCCTCTTAAGTAGCTCAGACTGTAAGCACAAGCCACCACACCCAGCTTACTTTTTTATTTTCTGTGGTGACAATGTCTCATTATGTTGCCCAGGCTGGTTTCAAACTCCTGGGCTCAAGCAATCCTCTCACTTCAGCCTCCCAAAATTCTGAGATTACAGGTGTGAGCCACTGCATCTAGCCTGGAGTGTATTTTTAAGTCTCCAGACCTTAAATTGGTGAGTTTTATATCAAATGCACTATATAAGCCTGACATCTTCTTAAACAGAAGATGTATATTTGATATATAAAGAAGTACATTTGGTATAAAATTAGTGCAATCTTTACTTTGCTGGCCAGCCATTATTATGAACATTACTTTGCCACACTACAATAATGCCTTCAATATTGATATTCAGCCTAGAATTCACTGGCCCAAGTCATATTATTGTGACTTTTTAAAGTTCTTTTTATGTAATTTTAAAGTTTTCCTAACTCCTCTTTATTAGATGCCCGGTTGACTGTTATCGATATGCCACTAGCAATACTTTACTTATATTTCGTTTGTAAGAAACAATATACAGAAAGGGCCAGAGTACAAGCACACCTCATTTTATTGTGCTTCACTTTACTGCACCTCACAGATACTGTGTTTTTTTACAAATGCAAGGTTTGTGGCAACCTTGAGCAGAACACATCAATCAGCATGATTTTTCCAACACCATGTGCTCACTTTGTGTCTCTGTGTCACATTTTTGTAATTCTCAAAATATTTCAATCTTTTCATTATTATTTTATCTATTATGATGATCTGTAATCAGTGATCTTTGATGGCACAACTGTAATTGCTTTGAAGCACCACAAACCACGCACACATGAGACACTGAACTTAATTAACAAACGTTGTGTGTGTTCTGACTGCTTCACCTACCAACCATTCCCCTACCTCTCTCTCTCCCCTCAGGCCTCCTCCCTATCCCCTGAGACACAGCAATATTGAAATCATGCCAATTAATAGCGCTACCATGGCCTCTAAATATTCACGTGAAAGGAAGAGTCACAAGTCTCCCACTTTAAATCAAAAGCTAGAAATGGCCGGGTGTGGTGGCTCACACCTGCAATCCCAGCACTTTGGGAGGTCAAGGTGGGACAATCACTTGAGGTCAGGAGACTGAGGCCAGCCTGGGCAACATGGCAAGACTCCATCTCTACAAAACATAATTAACGAGCCATCCAGCCATGGCAGTACATGCCTGTAGTCCAAGCTACTTGGGAAGCTGAGAGTGGAGCATCACTTGACCCCAGGAGTTCAAGGCTGCAGAGAGCTAGGATTGCGCCACCTCTGTTTGCCTGGGAAAGAGAGCAAGTCCTTGTCTTAAAAAAAAAAAAAAAAAGAAAAGAACTAAAGCTTACTAAACTTAGTGTGGAAAGCATGTTGAAAGCTGAGACAGGCTGAAAGCAAGACTGCTTGCTGCAAAGAGTCAAGTTGTGAATACAAAAGAATAGTTCTTGAACAAATTTAAAAGTGCTACTCCTGGCCAGGTGCAGTGGCTCACACCTGTAATCCTGGCACTTAGGGAGGCTGAGGCAGGTGGATCACTTGAGGTCAGGAGTTTGAGACCAGCCTGGCCAACATGGTGAAACCCCATCTCTACTAAAAATACAAAAATTAGCCAGGTGTGGTGGCAGGCACCTGCAATCCCAGCTACTCGGGAGGCTGAGGCAGAAGAATCACTTGAACCCAGGAGGCTGAAGTTGCAGTGAGCCAAGATACTGCCACTGCATTCCAGTCTGGGCGACAGAGTGACACTCCATCTCAAAAGAAAAAAAAATGCTACTCCTATGAACACACAAATAGTAAGAAAGCAAAACAGTCTTACTGATGATACGGAGAAAGTTATAGTAGTCTGAATACAAGATCAAATCAGCCACAACATTCCCTTAAGCCAAAGTCTAATTCAGAGCAAGATACTCTCTTCAAGTCTATGAAGACAGAGAGGTTAGGAAGCTGCAGAAGAAAAGTTCGTTTACAAGCTTTAAGAAAAGAAGTTGTCTCAGCCTGGACAACAGAGTAAGACCCTGTCTCTACAAAAAAAAAATAGAAAATATTAACTGAGTATGGTGGCATGCACCTGTAGCCTCAGCTACTTGGGAGACTGAGGTAAGAGGATCACTTTAGCTTGGGAGGTCAAGGTTGTAGTGAGCCATGATGGTGCCAGCTGGGAGGTCAAAGCTGAAATGAGTCATGCTGGGCAACAGAATGAGACCCTGCCTCAAACAATTAAAAAAAAAAAAAAAAAAAACCTATCTCCATAACATGACAGTGCAAGGTGAAGCAGCAAGTACTGATGGAGAAGATGCAGCAAGTTATCCAGAAGATCTAGCTAGGATAACTGATGAAGGTGGCTACAGTAAACAACAGATGTTCAACGTAGATGAAAGAGACTTCTGTTGGAATAAACTGACATCTAGGAATTCCATACCTAGAAAGGAAAAGTCAATGCATAAGTTCGAAAGATAGGCTGACTCTCTTGTTAGGGGCTAATGAAGCTGGTGTCTTATCTGTGAAGCCAGTACTCAATTACCATGCAAAAGATCCAATGGCCCTTAAGAATTATGCTAAATTGGGCCGAGCATGGTGGCTCACGCCTGTAATTCCAGCACTTTGGGTGGCAGAGGCCAGCGGATAACTTGAAGTCAGGAGTTCGAGACCAGCCTGGCCAACATGGCGAAACCCCATCTCTACTAAAAAAAAAAACAAAAAAAAAAATTAGCCGGGCATGGTGGTACACACCTGTAGTTCCAGCTACTTCAGAGGGTGAGGCAGGAGAATCGCTTGAACCTGGGAGGCAGAGGTTGCAGTGAGATCATGCCACTGCATTCCAGCCTGGGTGACAGAGCAAGACCTTGTCTCAGAAAAAAAAAGAAAAAAAAAAAAAGCTAAATCTACTCTGCCTGTGCTCTGAAAATGGAACTACAATGACTGGATGACAGTACATCTGTCTATAGCGTGGATCACTGAAATGACTTAACCCACGTTTGAGAACTGCCACTCAGAAAAAAAATAAATAAAATTCCTTTCAAAATATTACAGCTCATTGACAATGCACCTAGTCACCCAAAAGCTCTGATGGGGAAGTACAAGAAAATTCGTGTTGTTTTCACGCCTGCTAATAAAACATCTATTCTACAGCCCAAGGATCAAGAAGTAATTTCAAGTTTCAAGTCTTACAATTTAAGAAATACATTTCATATAGCTACCACAAACAGTGATATCCTCTGATGGGTCTGGGAAAAGTAAACTGAAAATCTTCCGGAAAGGATTCATCATTCTAGATGCCTCTGCATAAAACAACAAAGGTAACAAAGCACAGTGAAGTTCACATTTTCGCTTAAACAAAAGTATAGGCATATACTTGGAGACAGAGCTGGTTAAGTTCCAGACCCCCGCCATAAAGTAAGTATCAAAATAAAACATGTCACATGAATTTTGTGGCCTCCTAGTGAATATATAACTATGTTTACACTAGAGTGTAGTCTGTTAAGTGTGCAATGGCACTGTGACTAAAAACAAATGCACATTCCCTAATTAAAAATTTCACAACTATTTTTCCCCACATAAAGACACTATGTTCTTTTCATTATGTTCCAGGCAGCATAAAATTTTAGATCCTTAGAGAACTTTAAAATAAATTAGTCCTCTCTTTATTGTAAACATGAAGAACTCAAAGCTCAGAAAAGTGAAATAAGCTGCCCAGTTATAAGTAGCTTTCCTAGTGGAAGAACCTGGGCCTATTATCTTTTGGGGTTTTTTGTCTGTTCTATTCCATTATACCACATCCTCAATACTAATTTGCCAAAGGATTCCAGATAACTGAGATTGCCAATAGATACTTCAGGAAACTCCTGAAAATATCCATTTATACCATAATCAGAATAAAAAGTGCTGCAACAACTATCTAGAAAACCCGATAGTCTCAGCACAAAAGCTCCTTCAGCTGATAAAACAACTCGAGCAAGGTTTCAGGATAAAAAAATCAATGTACAAAAATCACTAGCATTCCTATATACCAACAACAGCCAAGTGGAAAGCCAAATCACAAAGGCAATCTCATTCATAACAGCCACAAAAAGAATAATATGCCTGTGAATACAGTTAACCGGGGAGGTGAAAGATCTCTATAAGGAGAACTATAAAACACTACTTAAAAAAATCAGAGAAGACACGAATGGAGAAACATCCCAGGCTAATGGATAGAAAGTACCAATATTAAAATGGCCATACTTCCCAAAGCAATTTACAGATTCAATG